TACTTTGGCTGGGATTGTCCTCCCCTAAGGAGGTGCCCATTTACTTCCAAACCAAAACCGAGCCCCTCCTGTGTGTGACCTGGGGCAGGTGGCTTAGCCACTCTGGGCCTCAGTTTCCTCACTTTGCTAACTGGGTTAAAAAAAAAATAGTTCTTTAGCTAGGTGTGGTGGCAGGCACCTGCAATCCAAGTCACTTGGGAGACTGAGGCAGGAGAATCGCTTGAACCTAGGAGGCAGCAGTGACAGCGAGCCGAGACCAGGCCTCTATACTCCAGCCTGGGCAACAAGAGTGAAACTCCGTCTCAAAAACAAACACACACACACAAATAGTTCCTCAGCCAGGTGCAGTGGTTCATACCTGTAATCCCAACACTTTGGGAGGCCGAGGCGGGCAGATCACTTGAGGTCAGGAGTTTGAGACAAGCCTAGCCAACATGGCGAAACCCCATCTCTACTAAAAATACAAAAATTAGCTGAGCATAGTGGTGTGCACCTGTAGTCCCAGCTACTTGGGAGGCTGAGGCAGGAGAATCACTTGAACCTGGGAGACAGAGGCTGCAGTGAGCCAAGATCGTGCCACTGCACTCCAGCCTGGGTGAGAGAGCAAGACTCTGTCTTAAAAAAAAAAGTTCCCCCAAGCTGGGCATGGTGGCACATGCCTGTAGTCCCAGTTACTTGGGAGGCTGGGGCGGGAGGATGGCTTGAGCCCAGGGGGTGGAGGCTGCAGTGAGCTGTGACTGTGCCACTGCGCTCCAGCCTGTGAGACAAAGCAAGATCATATCTCAAAACAAAAAACAAAAACATGGCCCGAACATGATTAGGGCTACCAGTGAACATTAGCCTTTACGCCAGTCACTGGGGCAGCGGGACATGACTCAGTTTCTCCCCATCACTGCTGACTCTGCATGTTTTCGTTCCTCCCACTGCAATTGAGGAAACGAAAATCCACTGTCACTTCTCTCTCACCATATCCCTGACTTCTAGCAATGCATGTACTCCACACCAGGCATGTATCACATATTCAGGTTATAAAACCTGACTCTGGGTGAGTGGTTTTTTTGTTTTGTTTTGTTTTGTTTTGAGACGGAGTCTTGCTCTGTCCCTTAGGCTGGAATGCAGTGGCACGATCTCAGCTCACTGCAGCCTCCGTCTTCTGGGTTCAAGTGATTCTCCTGGCTCAGCCTCCCGAGTAGCTGGGACTATAGGCACGTGCCACTACTCCCGGCTAGTTTTTTGCATTTTTAGTAGAGACAGAGTTTCACCATGTTGGCCAGGCTGGTCTCAAACTCCTGGCCTCAGGTGATCCGCCTGCCTCGGCCTCCCAAAGTGCTGGGATTACAGGCATGAGCCACTGCGCCCGGCCAGGTTAGTGTTTTGATCTGCCCTCTTCTCCCACTTGGCTTGGACCTCATTCCCTGGCCAGCTCAGACAGCTCTCTGATGTTCTGCATTCTACCTGAAGCTGCTGAAGACCAAAATAGCCACTGAGCGTGTGACCTGGGGCGTGGGCTTCCAAACAGGGCTCAGGGGCAGCCTAGAGAGCTCTGCCCTTGGTGTTGGAGGAATTCGGGGGTGGAGCCAGTAAACACCATAGTACCAGCCAGGCACAGTGGCTCACGCCTGTAATCCCAGCACTTTGGGAGGCTGAGGCAGGCGGATCACCTGAGGTCAGGAGTTCAAGACCAGCCTGGCCAACATGGTGAAACCCCGTCTCTACTAAAAATGCAAAAATTAGCCAGGCACGGTGGTAGGCGCCAGTAATCCCAGCTATTCAGGAGGCTGAGGCAGGAGAATCGCTTGAACCCGGGGGCGGGAGGTTGTAGTGAGCCGAGATCACGCCATTGCATTCCAGCCTGGGTGACAGAATGAGACTCTGTCTCAAACAAACAAACAAAAAATCATAGTGTCCTGGTGAATGGTGGCGAAGTCTAAGTGGAACGGGCTCTCAGTGACCCACACAGCCGGGAGTTCTGACTCACACCTGTAATCCCAGCACTTTGGGAGGCTGAGGCAGGAGGATTGCTTGAGCCCAGGATTTCGAGACCAATCCAAACAGGCAACATAGCAAGACCTCGTCCTTACAAAAAATATAAAAATTGGCTGGGTGCAGCCCAGCGCAGTGGCTGAAGTCTGTAATCCCAGCACTTTGGGAGGCCTAGGCGGGCAGATCATGAGGTCAGGAGATCGAGACCATCCTGGCAAACACGGTGAAATCCTGTCTCTACTTAAAAAAAAATACAAAAAATTAGCTGGACATGGTGGCGGGCGCTTGTAGTCCCCAGCTACTTGGGAGGCTGAGGCAGGAGAATGGCGTGAACCTGGGAGGCGGAGCTTGCAGTGAGCCGAGATCATGCCACTGCACTCCAACCTGGGCAACAGAGGGAGACTCCAACTCAAAAAATAAAAATAAAAACAACAAAAAAAATAAATAATAAGATTTTTAAAAATTGGCTGGACGCAGTGGCTCACGCCTGTAATCCCAGCACTTTGGGAGGCTGAGGCGGGCGGATCACCTGAGGTCAGGAGATCGAGACCAGCCTCAACATGGAGAAACCCCCGACTCTTACTACAAATACAAAATTAGCCAGGTGTAGTGGCACGTGCCTGTAATCCCAGCTACTCAGGAGGCTGAGGCAGGAGAATTGCTTGAACCTGGGAGGCGGAGGGAGGTTGCAGTGAGCCGAGATTGCACCATTGCACTCCAGCCTGGGCAGCAAGAGCGAAACTCTGCCTCAAAAAAAAAAAAAAAAAAAAAAAAAAAATTAAATTAAATTAAATTAAAAAAGAAAATTAGCCAGGCATGGTTTTATGTGTCTGTAGTCCCAGCTACTCGGGAGGCTGAGGTGGGAGAATCGCTTCAGCCATGGAGGTTGAGGCTGCAGTGAGCTGTGATCGCTCCATTGCTCTCCAGCCTGGGCAAAAAGAACAAGATCCTGTCTCAAAAAAAAAAAAAAAACAGTGACCCAAGTCCGGGGTCCAGCCCTGTTTCTGAAGATGTGGCCAGAAACTCAGCTTTCATTTTCTGCCTGTTTTTAGAGGAATTCTGGTCTCTGATGAAAGTTGGCAGAATGTGCCTGGGGACGTGCTGGGTGTTGGGATGCAGCTCTAACAGAACAACATGTCCTTCTCGGGAAGTTCTCATCTCTATGTCAGAGGAAATGGGAAGCCAACCAGAGAGGCTGTGACTATACTAAATGATTTCTGCTTAGTAATACCTGGGGGGGCCAGAGGCGGTGTTTCATGCCTGTAATCCCAGTACTTTGGGAAGTTGAGAAGGGTGGATCACCTGAGGTCAGGAGTTCGAGACCAGCCTGGCCAACATGGTGAAACTTCTTCTCTACTAAAAATCCAAAATTAGCTGGGTAAGGTGGAACTCACCTGTAATCCCAAGCTACTCGGGAGGCTGAGGTGGGAGAATCGCTTGAACCCGGGAGGCAGAGGTCGCAGTGAGCCAAGATCACACCACTGCACTCCAGCCTGGGCGACAAGAGTGAAACTACGTCTCAAATAAATAAATACATAAATAATTTCTGCTTAATAATACCTGGGGGACTAAATAATCTGTACAACAAACCCCCATGACACGAGTTTATCTATATAACCTGCACATGTGCCCCATAACTTAAAAGTTAAAAAAAATTAAAAATGATTTCTGGCCAGGCGTGCTGGTCCACACCTGTAATCCCAGCACTTTTGGGAGGCCAACGGGGCAGATTGCTTGAGCTCAGGAGTTCGAGACCAGCCTGTGCAACATAGTGAAACTCCCGACTCTACAAAAATTAGCTGGGTGTGGTGCCACACACCTGTAGTCCCAGCTACTCAGAAGGCTGAGGTGTGAGGATCAGTTGAACCCTGGAGGTCAAGGTTTCAGTGAGCTATGATTGTGCCACTGCACTCCAGCCTGGGTAACAGAGACCCTGTCTCCAAAAAAATAAAATAAAATAAAATAAAATAAAATAAAATAAATAAAATAGAGAGAGAGAAAGGAAATAATTTCTGAGCTTTATTGCTCTAAAGAGGATGGAACCAGGGAATAAGATGGAAATACTAGGGGGTAGCAGTGGGGTCATTTCAGCCAGGGAGGGCCAGAAGGAACCCTCAGAGGAGGTAATAGGATAGCAGGGAGGTGACAGCCAGAGAAGGCCCCAAGGAGAAAGTGACAGTTCACCCCTCAGAGGAGGTGACAGCCAGGGAGAGGAGGGCCCCTGGGAGAAGGCGACATTGGAACACTGGAGCTGAGGGCTGAAGGCGGCCAGCTTCGCAGGTACCTGCGGGGTGTGCTCCGGCGGAGGGAACAGGAGGTGCAATCGCCCTCCCCCATTAGCCTCCTAGGACTATGGGGTCCTGCAGAGAACCTTCTGGCACCACACAAATGTGGTTGCCGTGTTTTTCCTTTTTTACTCCGTCCTCCCCTACCCCCGCCAACTCCCTGGCCTGAATGCCGCTCCTGTGACCCCTCGAGGTGAGTGGCCTCGGGGAAGTGGCAATCTGTGCCTCAGTTTCCTTATCTGGAAAACAGGCCTTGCTCGCGGGGACTCCCCTCCCTAATTCTGGGCAGTATGCATGCATAGGGCAGGCCCTCAATGAACTCTTATAGAATAAAGGACCGGCTCGTCCCCAGCACCTGACTCAGTGCGTACACCCTACGGCATAAGATGTTCCCATTTTGCAGACGGGGAAACGGAGGTTGGGGAGGATGGTGATAGCCGTCGGGGGCTGGGTTCAGTGTCGGAGGCAGAGCGCAGGGCGCGCACGCTGCGTCTCGGGCCCGCGGGCGCGCACGCCTAGCGCCTGACCGGGGGCGTGGAAGGGGGCGTGGAAGGGGCGTGGCCTTGCGGGGCTGTGAGGCTACCGCGGCTGCGAGGCTACCGCGGCTGCAGCTGTCGCGCCAGTCGGAACAGAAGCGGGTCCGAGGCGCAGCCCAGTCCCGCCATGGAGCAGCCGAGGAAGGCGGTGGTAGTGACGGGTACGCTGGCTGATGGGGGCTGTAGCGGCAGCGGCCGGGGCGGCTCCGGGACTGCGGGGCCGGGCGGGGCAGGTGCTGGAAGTCCTCCCAGATTTGGAAGGTGTCATCGCCCGCGGGAGCCCTGCGCAGCCCAGGCTTCCTGGAAAGTGGAAGAGGAGGAGCCTCGGGGGTCCCAGGGTCGGGAGTCAGGGCAGTCAGGCGCGGGGATTGGGGGGCCGGGCAAATGCCCGGCGCCGCGCAGGTCCCCCTGGCGTCCTTTCCTTCCAAGGTAGGGATGGTGACCCTCCTGGCACCTGCCTGCTCTGTCTGGCCTGCGGGCTGGACCGGACCCTTCCTCCCTGCCCCTTCCGAGGTCCGGCCTGTCCCCACACCGCCCCCCCAACCCCCGGCCCCAGGGGACAAAGGCCGATTTGCGGGCAGGAAGTGTCCCAGTGACAAATGAACCTCCCAGTCACTGCTCGCCGCGCCCTGCGCTCGTGGGGGGCTGCTCCCCCAAGGCAGGGACAGGTGGGAGTCCGGGGACCTCGGGCGCTGGGGCTCTCCCAGCTGTCCCAGGGACTGTCTTCAGCGGAAACCTTTTGTGTTTTGTGCCGGGGCTGTTTGTTGGTGAGTCAGGGCCCCCGCTGTCACCGACTCCCCCCAACCCCCAAACCAACTGTTCCTCCTCTCTGAGACTCCGCCTCGGGGCCACGTGGGGCGCAAACTTCCGCTGGGGCCTCAGAGTCAGGGAATAGGGGGTGTCATTTTGACCTGCTGTCTGGAGGGGTCAGAGTGAGAAATCCCGCAAAGGTGCACACAGGTGTTTTGTGGCTGTTGAAGGGAGGTTGAGGCTGATCCTGGAGATTCAGGGAAGAGGGAAGAAACCAGACACCTGCTTAACAGGTGTGTGTAATTAGGAGGAGGGTCACTGCCCCCACCCCCTCCAGCCTTCCTTGATCTGGTTATTTATTCCAGCACTTTTTGAATGAGCTGATTACATCTTGACTGTCTCCATTTTGCAGAAAGGGAAACTGAGGCTCACAGAGGTCATCCAGTTTGTAAGGGGCTGAGCTGGGACTCAAACTTCGGCTGTACAGAAGGATAGAGTTAGGAGGTCCCCTTCTGAGCCACAGCCCCTACCTGCTATCCCAGGCTACAGCATCTCTGCATAGCATTTATATCCTGTGGGATCACTGGCCCAGATGGACCATATATTTTTTTGTTTTGTTTTGTTTTGAGATGGAGTTTTGCTCTTGTTGCCCAAGCTGGAGTGCAATGGCGCGATCTCGGCTCACTGCAACCTCCACCTCCTGCGTTCAAGCAATTCTCCTGCCTCAGCCTCCTGAGTAGCTGGAATTACGGGCATGTATCACCACAGCTGGCTAATTTTTTGTATTTTTAGTAGAAACAGGATTTCACCATGTTAGCCAGGCTGGTCTCGAACTCCTGACCTCAGGTGATCTGCCCGCCTCGGCCTCCCAAAGTGCTGGGATTACAGGTGTGAGTCACCACACCCGGCCCCAGGACTGGATTTGAATCCCAGCTCTTTCACCTTCTTGCTGTGTGACCTTGGGCAGCTAGCTTCACCTCTCTGTGCCTCAGTCCCTGCTCCTGGAAACTGGGCCCAGGAAAAACCCTTGCCCGAAAGGGGATGTGGCCAGGTGGAATGCCAGGAAGATCACTTAGCACAGCCTTGGGTGACTGTCGTGTTTTGGAAAGGGGGGCCTAGAGTTTGAGCTAGCAGTGAGGAGGGTGACAAGGTGAAATCTAGACAGCCCATAGGGCTCATTCCTCATTTGGTGCCGATTCAGGGCATTTCGGGACAGTGACACGATAATTTTAGGTTGGGTCAAGGGGAACAGAGGAAGTGGAGACAGGATCAGGACAACCTTTTCGGAGGCAGAAGAGACCTCTGGATCCTGGCTGAGCAGGAGGGGCCGGCGGAGGTGAAGACAGGAAGGGACCCGTTGACTTCAGAGTGGACAGGTGCAGGACGGCGGCTCTGACGGGTCTCCAGGTGCTCCTAGAACTCAGGACCAGGCCCGCAATGTCCCTGGCAGCTGCGCCCTGAAGCTCCTTGTTTGCTTCTCCAGGTGGGAGTAGCGGCCAGGGGAAGACTGGGAAGGGCCACTCTTGGGTAATATATTGCTTTTCCTGTTTTTTCAGGATTTGGCCCTTTTGGGGAACACACTGTGAACGCCAGTTGGATTGCAGTTCAGGTAACTTAGATCCGGAGGGTGGGAGTCAGGCTTGGAACTGGGCACTCCCCCGCCGCAGAAAGTTATGGCATCCCAGAAAGTCTCCTTTCAACAAAACTTTTTTTTTTTTTTTTTTTTTGAGACAAAGTCTCACTCTATCACCCCCCATGCTGGAATGCAATGGCACAATCTCAGCTCACTGCCACCTCTGCCTCCTGAGTTTAAGCGACTCTCTCTTTTTTTTTTTTTTTTTTATTAGCGACTCTCTTACCTCAGCCTCCAGAGTGCCTGAGATTATAGGTGGCTGCCACCACGCCCGGCTAATTTTTGTATTTTTAGTAGAGATGGGGTTTCACCATGTTGGCCAGGCTGGTCTCGAACTCCTGACCTCAAGTGATCCTCCGGTCTCAGCCTGCTAAAATGCTGGAATTACAGGCATGAGCCACTATGCCCAGCCAGCTCTTACAAAACGATGTCGGATCCACATATCTTCCTGGATAGTAACCACTGGAGCACACATCTGTTGAGTATTTGTTTGCAGCCCAGAACTCTGAATCCTCCCAACAACCCCTGCATAGTAGGGGCAGTTATTCTTGCGCCCACTTAACAGAAGAGAAAACTGAGGCCCAGGGGAGAGACAAAGAGAGTTCTCTGACATCACACAGCCAAGAAATGGGAGTGGCATTGCTTCAGAAGTGCCCCAGGCCCCAGCCATCGGCTAGATCTGGGTCTGGAGGGCCAGGTGTGGATATAAACATAGCTGGTTTCCAGGACACAGCTGTTTATGTGGTGCTGGCGTCTACTTTACCTAGGAATTATCCAACTCTAGGATCTCCGTCTTTTTTTTTTTTTTTTTTTGGCTCACTGCAACCTCCGCTTCCCGGGTTCAAGCGATTCTCCTGCCTCAGCCTCCAGAGTAGCTAGGATTACAGGCGCCCTCTACTGTGCTAATACCTGCTAATTTTTGTATTTTTAGTAGAGACAGGGTTTCACCATGGTGGCCAGGGTGGTCTCAAACTCCTGACCTCAGGTGATCCACCCTCCTCAGCCTCCCAAAGTACTCGGATTACAGGTGTGAGCCACCACACCTGGCCAGGATCTCCCTCCTTTTTAACAAAAATGTTTTCCGTTGACTCAGACAAATCGTGACTCAGGTTGGTTTCTGAACAGCCAAAGTGAGAATTCTCTGGTATGTTTTGGGCAGGTAATTCGTGGTTTCGGAAGGACCAGGCAGGAATATGTGGGGTGGGGTGGCAGGGGGACATGTCTTGACTTTGTAGGAGGGGGTACGGTGAGCCTCGCTGTCACCTCCCGGCAGCTGGGGGAGGAAAAGATGGCATATTAGGGCCGGGCGCGGTGGCTCAAGCCTGTAATCCCAGCACTTTGGGAGGCCGAGGCGGGTGGATCACGAGGTCAGGAGATCGAGACTATCCTGGCTAACATGGTGAAACCCCGTCTCTACTAAAAATACAAAAAACTAGCCGGGCGTGGTGGCGGGCGCCTGTAGTCTCAGCTACTTGGGAGGCTGAGGCAGGAGAATGGCGTGAACCCGGGAGGTGGAGCTTGCAGTGAGCCGAGATCACGCCACTGCACTCCAGCCTGGGAGACACAGCGAGACTCCGTCTCAAAAAAAAAAAAAAAAAAGATGGCATATTAGGGGCCGAGGGGGGCTGTCATTCCGGGTGCCCTGAACAAGATGCCAGCCTGCAAAACCTTTCTAGTTTCTTTCCCAGATGGAGTATTTTGTAGGGACAGGCTGGGGAGCAATGCACAGAAACAAGGAAGTGTTTTTTGCTTATATAAATCAGACCGGCAGAGACCAGAGCCAAACTCCTGTTTATCCTAGCCTGCTTGCTGCCTGATTGAAAGTAACCTCTGTTCCCACTCCAGAATCCTAGATTTGGAGAAAAATCTAAGTTGAAACCTCAGCGTGGCAGTTCCCAGCTGTACCCCCCATTTTTTAATCACCCCCTTCCCTCCCCAACTTAAGACCTTAAAGTTTTGGCTGTTTCCCTTTTTTTTTTTTTTTTTTTTTCTTTCCTGCCCACTTTGTGAACGGGACGGAGGGACAGGGTCCCGGGACCCTGCAGATGGGAGCGTGCCCGAGGCCCTGCCTGCTCACCCGTTCCCCGGAGAGCCAGACAAAAAGAAACAGCGTGTTTCTGAAGACTTGTGTGTCAGGCTTTGTGCAGATTTCAGACAGGAGCCTTCACGGGGCTGAGTGGACACAAAGCCGGGTGTCTGAATTCCTGGGCCCCAGACACTGTGATCTGCATCTAAATAGAAGAAAAATCAATTAAACGATCTTTGGAAATCCCTCTGAGCTTCGGGGCTTCTCGGATGGTGAAGGATGGCAGGTTTTTATCCTGTGGCCGGAGAGGAAATAGTCCTTCTCCTTGGTTATCCTCTCTCCAGACCTGCAGTTGCCACTTTTTGCTTTCTTTTTTTTTTTTTTTTAATCTGGAGACACCGTTTCGTTCTTGTTGCCCAGGCTGGAGTGCAATGGCATGGTGTCGGCTCACTTCAACCTCCACCTCCTGGTTCAAGCGATTCTCCTGCCTCAGCCTCCCTAGTAGCTGGGATTACAGCTGCACACCACCACGCCCAGCTAATTTTTTAATTTTTAGTTCAGACGGGATTTTGCCACATTGACCAGGCTGGTCTTGAACTCCTGACCTCAGGTGATCCGTCCACCTCGGCCTCCCAAAGTGCTGGGATTACAGGCATGAGCCACTGTGCCCAGGCCCACTTTTCGCTTTCTTCCTGAAGTTTAGGACACAAGATTCCCCACCATTCCCCTGCTAAAAAGATGCCAGCCTTCTCAGATCTGATTGTTTCACTTAAACAAAACAAAACAAAGTTTAACATATATACACCCAGGACACTCATTAGTGAAATTTTAGGCCTGGCATGATGGCTCACGCCTGTAATCCCAGCACTTTGGGAGGCTGAGGTGGGAGAATCACCTGAGGCATGGAGTTCGAGACCAGCCTGGCCAACCTAGCAAGACCCCATCTCTATAAAAAAAATACAAAAATTAGCTAGGTGTGGTGGCACATGCCTGTAGTCCCAGCTACTCGGGAGGCTGATATGGGAGGATGACCTAAGCCTGGGGAGGTAGAGGCTGCAGTGAACCCTCGGTGTCACTGCACTCCAGCCCAGGTGACAGAGCTAGACCCTGTCCCAAAAAAAAAAAAAAAAAAAAAAAAAATTTGACCAGGCACAGTGGCTCACGCATGTAATCCTAGCGCTTTAGAAGGCTGAGGCTGGTGGATTGCCTGAGGTCAGAAGTCCAAGACCAGCCTGACCAATATGGTGAAACTCCGTCTCTACTAAAAATACAAAAATTAGCCGGAAATCGCTTGAACCCAGGAGGCGGAGGTTGCAGTGAGCCGAGATTGTGCCGCTGCACTGCAGCCTGGGTGACAAAGCGAGACTCCGTCTCAAAAAAAAAAAAAAAAAAAAAAGAAATTTTACATATGTGTACTCCCAAGGCCAGGTCAAGATCTCAAACATTCTCTGGTTCTTCCTCGCATTCTTCACAGAAGCCTCACATAGCCTCTTCCCAAGTATTCCCAAGCCCTCCAGTTGTAAACCTCTGCAGATTTTTTTGTGCCACTAGGTGAATTTTGCCTGTTCTAGAAGTTGGTGGGAACAAGTGGCTTCCAGGTCCCACACCTCTGTGAGAACCACCCCTGGAGTTGCTGTCTGGTTCCTTCTTGTCCTGGACTTGCCTGTTAGAAAGGTGTCCCTGCTGGATGGGTTGAATCCATTCCTCCAAAAAATGTGCCCTGGGGTGGTGTTGGTGTAACGCAGGCAACTGTTGCTAGGTGTCATCTCCACCCGAAGATGGGTGATCTGTTCTGCGCCGTGGGTGGCCATTGCTTCCTGCCCTGACGGATTTTTCAGAAGCTCCTCCTCCTTCAGGGACCTCCTAAGTACTTCTCTGTGTCTCTCCCCTCTTGCTCCTTCTGGGTCTCTCTCTGTCCCTTTCCCCTCTTCTCTCTATCTGTGTTCATCTCTGTGTGTCTCTTCATCTCTCTGTCTCTGTCGCTTTCACCTCTCTCTGTGTGTGTGTCTGTTTCTCTCTCTTGTCTCCTTGTATCTTTCTGCCTCTCTGGGTTTCTCTGTTTCTTCCCACCTCATCCCCTCTTTCTCTCTCCGTTTCTCTCTTTCTCTCTCTCTGTTTTTTTTTTGTTTTGTTTTGTTTTGTTTGTTTGTTTTTTTGTTTTTTGAGACGGAGTCTCGCTCTGTCGCCCAGGCTGGAGTGCAGTGGCGCGATCTCGGCTCACTGCAAGCTCCGCCTCCCGGGTTCCCGCCATTCTCCTGCCTCAGCCTCCTGAGTAGCTGGGACTACAGGCGCCCGCCACCGCGCCCGGCTAATTTTTTGTATTTTTAGTAGAGACGGGGTTTCACCGTGGTCTCGATCTCCTGACCTTGTGATCCACCCGCCTCGGCCTCCCCAAGTGCTGGGATTACAGGCGTGAGCCACCGCGCCCGGCCTTTTTTTTTTTTTTTGAGACAGGTTCTCACTCTGCCGTCCAGGCTGGAGTGGAGTTCAATGGTCGATTGAATGAGCGAGGTGAGCGATCTCAGCTCACCTCATCGTTGACCTCCCGGCCTCAGGTGATCCTCCCACCTTACCCTCCCAATTAGCTGGGACTACAGGCATGCACCACCACACCCAGCAATTTTTTTATTATTATTATTTTTTTTTTGAGATGGTATTTGGCCATTTTGCCCAGGCTGGTCTCAAACTTCTGGGCTCAAGCCATCCTCCCGTCTCGGCCTCCCAAAGTGTTGGAATTACAGGCGTGAGCCTCCATGCCGAGCCTTCTCTGTTTCTCTCTGTCTCCCTGTCTCTCTGTCTCTCTCTGGGTCTTACTATCTCTTCCCCTTTCTCTCTTTTTCTATCTTTGTTTCTCTCTGTGTGTCTCAGTTTCTCTCCCTGTGTGTGTCTCTGTCTCCTTGTCTCTTTCTCTCTCTTTCCCCTTCTCTCTCTCTCCATTTCTGTTTCTCTC